ATAGCGATAATGGTCACTTGCGATATCGCATTGAACAACATCAACTTTCCGATCACTGGGCTTCATCACAGCAAATGCCGAGCCAGTGAGGAACATCAGGCTCAAAAAGCCGGCCACGAAAGTGACCGTATTCGAGGCCGCTAACAAGCCGATGATAGAATAAGCCACGGCCATAACTCCGACCACAACCGACAGAATGGCAACAGTCGTCTGATTTCTCCACAAATGCTCACGATGAGCTTTGACTTCTTCTTTAGTCACTCGCTTCTCCTCGAAGAAGTTTAGCGTCGCGGGTATGATAACAGTAGAAGATGTGAAAATCGTTGTCAGAATTGCCCACTGTGCACCACCAAGGCCCCACACTCCATCGGCATTCTCAACAATGAACCCGACGAGCAGCGTCGCGATGAGACCCAGTAGCTGATTTCCGACCCAAACGTAGCTCACCAGAGCCGGTCCAGATTTGGGGACAGCTGGTAAGCGGCTAGAGTATGTTGCCTCAGCAAGCAGGTCATACCCCATCAACTGAAGGTTCGCCATGAAAAGCCCAACCGTCGCAATCGGCGCATTGCTCTCGACCAGGTTGAGAGATACTGCCAGGATGGTACCGACTAGACCGAGGACGCTTACGATCATCATGTAAGGGAGCTTGTGGTAACCAAAGATGGCAAAAGAATCGGATACCACGCCGAGCCAGGGCTTCATCGCCCAAGGCATGAAAACTACCGAAGAATATCGATCCATATCTGGACCACTCACGTTCATCGCACGAAAATAGAACGGAGTAACAACAGACAGCATGATGTAGCTATAACCCTTAGCCCAGTGGTTGGTAAAGTGTAGCATTGTGACAAGCTTCCATCCAAAGTCCTTACATAACATATAGATCGCACTAACAATGGGGACTCTCTCTACGAGGCTTCCCTTAGCTGTCGCAGCCCTAGAGGGACCAGTCGGAAAAGGAGGAGGCATAGTTACAGCGATGGTTCAAGTTATAAGCTACAATTGGCAAGAATAGCCCATATGTGACGATGCCTCCTCATGCTGGCCCAGCAGTGCTGGGTCTACCCGACATTGAGGCGTCATTGAAAACA